AAAAAAAAAAAAAAAGAAAAGAAGAAGAAGAAGAAATAGAAAATCTGAACAGGCCTATAACACATAAAGAGATTTAATCACAGAAACAAAATGAGAGGCATCCAGATCGGAAACAAAGTAGGAAAACTATCTGTATTTGCAAATCACATGGCTTTGTATATAGAAAATCCTAAAAAATCAACAAAAGAACTAGTAGAGCTAATAAACAAACTCGGCAACATTGTAGGACACAGGACCAATTTACAAAAATCAATTCTGTTTCTGTACATTAGCAAAGAACAGTCCAAAAATGAAATTAAGAAAACAATTCCATTTCCAGTTGTGTCAAAAAGAATAAAATAGGGGCCCAGTGGCGCGGCGGTTAAGTTTGCACACTCCGCTTGGGTGGCCCGGGGTTTGGAGGTTCGGATCCCAGGCACACACCAATGCAACACTTGTTAGGCCATGCTGTGGTGGCGTTCCATATAAAGTAGAGGAAGATGGGCACGGATGTTAGCCCAGAGCCAATCTTCCTCAAAAAAAAAAAAAGAATAAAATACTTAGCAACAAACTTAACAAAATAAGTGTAAGTCTCGTATGCTGAAAACTACAAAACATCATTGAAAGTAATTTTAAAAGACCTAAACAAATACAAAGCCATCTCATACTTGTAGATTAGAAGACTAATGTTGTTAAGATGGCAATATTCCCCCAAATTGATCCACACATTCAGTGCAATCCCAATCAAAATCTCAGCTGCATTTTTTGCAAAATTTGAAAAGATGATCCTAAAATTTGTGTGGAAATGCAAGAAACTAAAATAGTCAAAAAAAGTCTTGGGAAAAATAAAAGAACAAAGTTTGAGAACAAAAGAACATTTCCCAATTTCAAAACTTACCACAAAGCTACAGTAATCAAGACTGAGTGGTATCAACATAAGGATAGACAGACAGACGTACATATCAATGGAATAGAACTGTGAATCGAGAAATAAATCCTGACACTTACAGGCAATTGATTTTCGACCAGGGTGCCAAGAAAATCCAGGGGGAAAAACGTCTTTTCAACAATGGTGCTGCAACAACTGCATTTCCACGTGCAAAGAATAAGGTTTGACCCTGTCTCACACTATACACAAAAACCAGCTCAGGATGGATTAAAGGCCTAGAGGTAAGAGCTACAACTAGAAAGCTCTTAGAAGAAAACACAGGTGTCAATCTTCATGACGTTGGATCAGGCAATGGTTTCTTAGATGTGACACCCAACACACAAGCAACAGAGGATAAAGCGGACTTCATCACAATTTAAAAACTTTTGTACATAGAAGAACACAATCAAGAAAGTGAATGGGAGTAAATATTTTCAAATCATACATCTGATAAGGATCTAGTATCCAGAATATATAAAGAACTCTTACAACTCAACAATAAAAAGATAAAGAACCCAAGTGAAAAACAGGCAAGTGATTTAAAGAGACATTTCTCCAAAGACATACAAATGGCCAATTCACACATGAAAAGATGCTCAACATCATTAGTCATCAGGGAAATGCAAATCAAAACCACAAAGAGACACCACCTCACACCCACGAGGATGGCTACAACCGAAAAAAAAGTGAACTGAAAATAACAAGTGTCGGTGAGGATGTGGAGAAAATGGAACCCTCGCACGCTCCCAGTGGGAGTGAAAAATGGTGCAGCCGCTCTGGAAAATAGTTTGGTGGTTCCTCAGAAAGTTAAACACAGAATTGCTAAATTCCCAGCAATCCCAAGAGAATTGAAAATATATGTTCACACAAAAACTTGTATAAGAATATTCATAGCAGAACTGTTCATAACAACCAAAAAGTGAGAACAACTCAGACGTCCGTTAGCTGATGAAATGATAGACAAAATGAGGTCCATCCACACAATGGAATATCACTCAGCCATGAAAAGGAATGAAGTACCGACACATGCTACAACACAGATGAACTTTGGAAACCTCCATCACCCTCGATGTCCCACTGCTGAGGCTGGAAGGCCAGGAGCTCACCTTCCCAGGCTGCCTGGAGCAGGGCAGGGCCTGGGACCCACACCGAGCCTGGGGGAGTCAGGGGAATCTGCCCCAGGCTCCTCAGAGAGCATTTGTCTTCCAAATAGAAGAGACAGCAGGGGACACCCTGTGTAGGCAGGAATGCCCTCAGATCCCTGCCCCATGGTGTGCACACATACCTGCCCCCAGCTATTCCACCAAACACTCATCCAGGCGCTGCTGTGAAGGGACTCTGCAGAAGGAATGAAGGTCCCAGATCAGCTGGCACTGAGGTCATCAACAGGGAGATTATCCTGGGTGGGCCCAACCCAATCAGGTGAGCCCTTAAAAGGGAGGGGGCTCTTCCTGGCCAAAGATTTGAAGCACGAGAGTGTTTGGACACAAGGAGGATTCTCCACAGCTGGCCTAAAGATGGAGAGGCCACCTGGCAAAGGACCTGAGAGCAGCCCCCAGCTGCCAGCCAGCCGGGAAACACTCAGACCCAGAGCCGCAAGGAAATGAATTCTGCCAACAACTTAGATGAGCTTGGAAGAGGATTCCGAGACAGCTCAGCCAGCTGGCATGTGGATTCCAGCCTTTGACTCCCTGAACAGAGAACCCAACCATACCACATCCGGACTTCTGACCTACAGAACTGTGAGCTAATAAACAGGCATTGTTTAAGCCATAGAGTTTGTGATAATTTGCTGCATATCAGTAAGAAAAAAAATACACACACACCTCTTGCATGTTCTTCTCTCCTTGAACATGATGGCTGGAGCTGTGGAAGCCTTCTTGTGACCATGAGGCATTAAGCGTTAGAAAGATCTTTATCTCATGCTCAGGACAACAGAGAATTAGAGATAGATATAGCTTGCATCCCTGCGATGCTCTTGTGACAGCCTTAGAGAAGGTCCCCAGTGAGTCAGCCTCCCTGTGTCCACACCCCCATCAACAGTGAGGTCTACTTCACCTTTTTGGGGTGGAGAAGCTAGCCAGGTCTTAAGCCTAGGCTGGTGCCATAGAACATGGAGAAGGTAACATTCTAGCAGTGCTGAGAACAGACCTTAACAAGCTCTGTACTGTCTACCATTCCCTGAGGGGAGCCCAGGCACCAGGTGAAGGAGCCCAGGCCACCCCCATGGAGAAGGACGTCCTGGGGACGCGATGTCATGAGGAGAGCGTGACCTCAGAGCAGAGAACGGGCCTCAGACACAGGGGTGAGCCCAGCCAACACCACAAGAAGACAGAGGCCTGTTGTCCCAGCCAGCCCATCCAAGGGAGCCATCCCAACCAGAACCACACACCACGGATGGTCCAGGCTGGATCCTCCTGCCCCAAATCCTGACCTGCAGAGTCACGGCATGGACAGCGATTGCTCTTCAGGCCTCTAAGTTTTGGGAGCGTTTGCTTCTGGTCACCAGATAACAGGCCCGACTGAGACAGGCCTGACAAGTCTGCCGAGAGCTGCCCACAGCTGAAATACCACCTCCAAGCCTGTTCCCAAGATGGTAAACAGCTGCCCCAAGAACCGACCTGTGACGTCCAGGTGGAAGGAGACCTTCTGGCCCCCGGCCTCGCAGCTGTACTCTCCGGCGTCCGCCTGCCCCGCCTGCTGCACCACCAGCTGCCTGCTGCAGCCCTTGGCCTCCACGCGCACTTTCGAGCTTTCACTCAGCTTCTTCCCGTCCTTGAACCACGTCACCTCCGTCTGGGCCTGGGCCACCTCGCAGCTCAGCGTGGCGCTGGCCCCCGCCTGAGCCTGCACCTCCCTGCGCGCTGGCTGCTCCTTGGCAAACACCACCGTGGGCTCTGGGGACAGGAGGGACACGGGGTCAGAGTCCCCGCTGAGGTGAGGTTCCCCAGTTCTGGAGCCACAACACAGGCTCTGGACCCCAGGCAGCCTCACATCCTGCCACGGGGGCTCCTTCGTGGTCAAGTGCTGCACACGGGCCTCCCCGGGCACAAGTGGGCCTGGTGCCTGACCCTCCTGGACGTGGCAGGAAGTGGCCTCGGGCACCATGACAGGCAGCTGGTGCCCGGGACAGACAGAACGAGGTGTGGTGGAGACCCTCCGCAGGGTCAGGACCCTGCAGAGCAGGGCTCAGAGAACCTCCCAGGAGGCCCCCATGGCTTCTAGAAAGAGCCGTGGGCACAGATCCACCGAGATGGGAATCCACCCTGCTGAGGACGCTGCCAGCACCTCTCAAAGCCTCACAGCCTCATTTCCCCATCTTTAAAAGGAGAACAGGGCTTCAAATCTCTTTCTTGTCATTTACTTTCCACAACTGCATTTTTCACTCTTCTAAATGTGACTTTTGTGGGCAGTTTCTTTTCCCAAATCCAGAAGCACTTGTGAAAGAAATAAAGGGCCCAGCAGACCGGCCTCGCTAGTGCTGGATGCAGCCGGACCTGCTCCTACCTACCAAGCCCAGGAGGCAGTGCACTCACCAGAGACGCGCAGCCGGAAGTCCACGGAGTCCTCGCCCACACGGCACGAGTAGGTGCCCTCGTCCTGCTTGGTGACCGAGGCCACCACCAGCCGGTGCCGTGTGCCCATGTCCTCCCGCGAGAAGCGCTGGCGAGAGCTCCCAAGCTCCACGCCGTCCTTGTACCAGCGCACATGCACACGGGCCTCCGAGGTCTCACACTCAAAGCAGGCTGGACCCCCAGCCACGGCATCCACGCAGCCGCCCACCGTGTCCTTGTGCAGAAAGGACGTGAGGTCTGCGAGGGCACATGGGCAGTCAGGGGCCAGCAGAGCCCCAATCACACGCGCACCCACGAGGCCAATGAGTGGAAGTGCTCGGCGCCTTGGAACCACGTGGGACACTGGCCCAGACCAGGGTCGTTTTCAGAGACAGGACCAGCTTCCACCGCTGACTTCCACCCACCCAAGTGCCACCCGCCCTTAGGAAGCTCCTCCCCTACTGAGAGGAGCCCCCGTCCCCATCCTCCCCATGTCATCACCTGAGCCCTCTACCCCCACCCAGCCCACAGAGACAGAAAACAGCAGCTCCCACCACCCAGACCACCCCCAAGAGCCTGCCCAGAGCTTGGGGACAGAGCGCGTGCAGACACCCCCACCAGCGTCACCTTGCACGGACAGCCAGTAGGCGATGCGGCTCCCGCGGCTGACACACTCGTACAGGCCGGCATCATCTCGTGCCACATCCCGCACCAGCAGGGTCCGATGCCCAGCCGACGCCTGCACCTCATACTTGGGGCCTGGGGGCAGCGCATGGCCATCCTTGAGCCACGTCACGGCCGCCGCCTGGTCTGACAGCTCCGCCAGGAGCTGCGCCTCCTCGTGCAGCCTGGCCAGCACCTCCCGAGCCGCTGTTGTTGGAGGCTTGGTGGTCAGCCCTGGGGCCACTGGGGGCCACGGACAAGTGGACAGAGGAGGCGTGGACAGAGAGGAGGAGGGCACAGAGAGGGAGAGAAGGGGGAGGGGTGGGGGCAGACAGACGGGAAGATAAACCTCTGTGCCATTGGGGGTTCCCCAGCCCCTCCTCCACACACGCCCCATGGCTGGGGCCACCCACCAGGCCTGGGCAAGCCACATGGCACACCCACCACCTGGCCTGCTTCGTCCAGGTGCCCGCCCAGCAGCCCACCTGCCCCAAGGGCAGCAGCAGCAGCCCTCCCAGGAGCCCTGAGGCCCCAGGAACCCCATCCCATGCCCACCCCCAGAGGAAACAGGGCTTGGAGATGCCCAGGGATCCCGGGCCAGGGTTCCCCTACCTCGGACCTCCATGCGGATGCTGCTTTCAATGCCGTCGGCCACGAACTTGAGCTCAGAGCCATGCAGGCTGGCGGGCACGGAGCGGATGGTGAGAACGTGCCGGGTGCCATCGCATCGGATTACATACACACTGCTGGCTTTCAGGGCCTGCCCGTCCAGAAACCACTCGCCCGCCGAGGCCACAGTGAGGTCCACGGAGAAGGTCACCTCACCACCCTCCACCGCCTCTACTGCCTTCAGAGGCGTCTTCACGGCCAGCTGGGGGGCTGCGGGATGGGGACTTCAGGAAGGAGCTGGGCCCATGCCCTCCCCTCCTTCTCCTCCGGAGCCTGGACCCAAATGCCACCTCTTTCAGGAAGCCCAGCAGGCAGACACTTGGTGACCACAAGACAACGTCAGGCCCAGGATGGTCTGGGGACAAGTTAGAGCTACCCAAGATCCCCTCGAGATCCCACAAATCCCAGGGGGTGGGGAGGGACTCAAATCCTGTCTCGGGTCCCCTCCCCTTCCCACAGAACAGGCTCAAACAGTATCAGTACCTTGGCCCCCCCCCCAAATAGAAGCTCAGTGAGGTCACTGCAGCCTCCGTGGGCTGGGCTGTGATCCGGGTCTGACTGACGCCACGACTGACGGCCCCGCCATTACCACGTGGCTAGGGGGAACGGAACCTTCCACACTTACCCAAGTGGACCGTTCCAGGGAACTGGAGGTAGGAGCTCTGGCCAAAGCTGTTCACAGCTGACACCCGGAACTGGAAGTCCCCCTCCTCGGCCACACCGCCCACGGTCAGCTCGGGCGTGGCCACCCACTCAGCCTCGTGGCACCGGCTCCAAGTGTAGGCACCGAGTCGCTTCTTCTCCACCAGATAGCCGTCGATGGAGACAGGGCGGTCCCCACAGGGCGGTGGGGACCAGCCAAGGGTCACGGAGCTCTCCGTCCTGGCCTTCACCACCGGGGCCTCAGGGGCATGCAGGGGCGGCTTCCTGGGGGCTTCGGAGAGTACCAGCCAACGTCACCGACTGGGAGCCCCTCCCTGAGCCCTGGGTCCAGCACTGCCCAGGAGGGGGAAGGGCATCCCAGAATCTCCAATCCTCCCAGGGGTGCTGCTCTGGTGGTCTGGAACAGCCACAGCCCAAGCGGGCCCATGATCCCCAGCCCCCGTCCTGTGGTTATTTCCCTGGTGGCAGCAGAAAGGGCACCTGGGCCTCAAGAGCCACCAGGAGCTGTTCACGTGGCCTGGGGATGGATCTCTATCTGTCATCAGGGTTTTGGGGTGGGCAGTGGCTGAGGCAGGGCACAATGACCCTTCTGAAGGTGCTGAGACCTGGTTGTGGGGGGCACCTCCCTGCCCCCAGCAAAGGGCTGACCCTATGGGGGCTGGAGAAAGGAGGGACGTGCCACCCAATCTATGAATTTGACACCAAAGGCCAGAGAAAGGAGACATGATCACACACGATGCCCCCCCCCACACGCTCTGTTCTAGAACAATCTGCACCTTCTATCTGGTTCAAAAGGTGAAGGGCCACCAAGACTCCTTCACTGCAGGTGCCTGGGGTGACCACAGTGGAGGAGAGAGCCAGCAAACTAGGGGTCCGAGAAGACAGAGCTTGATGGCAGTCACCACCCCCACGGCCCTCCCTGCAGCAGGCTGAGTGCAGCACCTCTGGAGGCAGGAAGAGGCACGTCCCTCGAGGGGCACTCCCCAGGCCATTACCTGACACGTAGAACTGGGTGGACGTCCAGCAGTTCCCAGCCACGAAGGCCACCTCGCCCACGTCCTCCAGGCTGCACTGGGAGATGGTGAGCGTGTGGCACGTGCCTTCTGCAGTGATGGCCACGCGGCCCCCGGCCACCACCTCTTCCTGGTTCCGCAGCCAGTGGACGGGGCCCTCGGGCCTGGCCAGCTCCACGCAAAACATGGCTGTGTCCCCCACTCGCACCGCTGTCTTCCTCGGGAGCTTTCGGGTGAGGTTGCCTGGGTGTGCAGGGCCGGGGCTGGTCAGACGGGACCTGTGTCCCCGCCTCCCCCCCTTCCCCTGCCAACCGCCCCACCTCCCCTGTCTCCTGCCCCCCACCTTCTTCCTGTCCCTGTCTTGAGTGCCCCGCCCCCG